TGTGTGTGTGTGTGTGAGAGAGAGAGAGAGAGAGAGAGAGAGAGAGAGAGATTGCACCAACAGCCCAAGAGGGTGTGTGCTGTTTTTATTTTATTTTTTATCTTTTACAGTTCGACACGACAAGTTGAAGTTTGTTTCGATAGTGAATTGTTGTGAAGTTTCATCAGTTTGTATAAAGTTATTTTGTTATTTTGGGTGGGCGGGGTAAAAATAAAAATAAGGAATAGCTCAGATCTTTTGAAGTGGGGTTTTGTATAAAAGTTGTGATTAATGAACATCTTACCTGTTGTAGATAGATCTTTAAATGGCCTCTGCAAAAAAAGGGGGCTTGTGGAGTTACAATAAGGAGGAGCTCATTGCAGTTCCATTTTATATAGACCCCAACTGAATGATTTCAATGTGAAAAAGACAGATTTAAAAGCATATGTCTCAAGTGCTACAGTTAGCTGTTGATGCTAGCTCCGCTTTCAAATAGCTATATAATTCTATGAAAATAAGCATTTAATGCAAAATTCACAAAAATATAAAGTTTTTTTGAGATTGTTTTTACTTGTGTTCTGAAATTTTTGAAATGAGTTGTTACGAGCTGGCAGTATACTTTGGTATTAGCTTCGCTTTCATTAGCTCATCAGTCTGTATTTAAATTCAATGTAGTTTATTTATATAGCACCAACTCACAATAAAAGTCCTCCGAAGGCATTGTACAAAAGGAGCAAGCAAAAATTAAACAGTATTTTTCTAAACTGAAGTCATTCAGACAGCTGTCTGCAACAGGTAAGATATTAACTGTTCAACCCCTCAGATGATCTGCGCCATTGCTTCAAGAGAAAAAAAAAACTGGTGGGGATTGAATACATGGGGAGTGAGAATAAACTATTGTCCAGTGCTGACATTAAAAAAGACACACAAAAAAGAAATGCACTATGAGTGTAAAGCAGTGTTTTCAAAAACAACTGCCTAAAATTGCATTTCACTTTCAGTTTTTCATCTTCAGCTCCAACTAAATAAATAGGAGGCAGTGTGAAAGGATGATGTCATTCATCAAAGCTCCTGTAACTATATCCTGCTCTCAGTTATTTATAATGAATCTGCAGGTTTGAAAATGTAAAAAAAAGAAGAAGAAGAAGAAGCAGGAAGCCAGCGTACATCAAACAGGATAAGCCTTCCACCTGTATTATATATTGTATATCTCATCACAGCACTGTAAATTCTTCTCATCCACTTTCTATGGCTATCTAGCCCCTAACATGGGTATAAACGAACTTCCTTTGATCAGAAAAATGGTACAAATTTGTCAAATTTGCCCTCGAGGCTGTGACCTACCTGCAGCTTTTAGACTGCGCAGCTGTTTTCCTCGCTGCGTTTCCTTCTTTAAACCCAACAGACAGGTTTTCTCTGTTGTCAGACCTCTCGCTACGTGACACTGTTGCCTCCTGAAGCCGTGTGGGCCTTCGGGTGTGTTTTATTCTGAGTTTAAAAACTGGCATGTCTTTTGACCCGACGGCGGGTCACATGATTTCTTCTCTTTCATTCCGAATGTTTATGTTCGTGTTTCCTGTCTGTCATGTGTTTGACTCATGAATATGCTGAGAATAATAAAAAAAGATGAAAAAAAAAAAAAAAACCACCAGCCAGGTTTTGGTGTCAATTCTCTGAGTGGATTTTGACAGCGTGCCCCGTCTACCAGCCACCTCCTCCGTGTCTCTGAGTTCATCGTCTCCCTTTGTGTTGCYCCTGAGGGGGAGTGTGACAGATGGGGGGGCCTGATGCACACCGTGGCCTCTCTGTGTGTGGATGAAAAGTTCCCACACACAAAATATGGCAATTTGACACAGCCATGAGGAATGAGGGGTGTTCTCTGAATACAAACGTTTGCTCACAGCTCAACACATTCAGGATTCTGTGTTTGGTTTGGACTTTGCAGCTTACCTTCACACCAAGACGAAACAAAATGTGTCGGAGGTTTGTTTAAACTGTGCACCTTCTTCTGACAATATCTTACCTGTTGCTGATGTAACCGGATCTTTCCTGCGTTGTGCTGGTTATGAAGAAATAATTTGCCGTGACACTGGTCGTCTTTGGGGAATCTGTTTCCCCCGTTTATTCTGACGAAAACAATAAACAGAAAGGCAACCACGTTATGCTCTGCCCACTCCAAGTCCTACATAAAACAAAACTAAAATCAGATCCTGTCACTCCACAGTCATAAATTCACCCAAATATTCACATTATAGGGTGTATACACCCTGTAATGTGAATATTTGGGTTTGTTATTGTTATCATCGTCACTGTAATATACACTCACCGGCCACTTTATTAGGTACACCACGCTAGTAACGGGTTGGACCCCCTTTTGCCTTCAGAACTGCCTCAATTCTTCGTGGC